TTCACGGCAGTGAGTACCCCCAGCGGGATGTTGTGGGAGTGGATAGTGATGCCACAGGGGCTGAGCAATGCCCCTGCTAATTTTAGCAGATGCGTTACAAATCTGTTTAGACCGATGCGAGACTTCGCACCGAGTCACTTCGACGATGTGTTCGTCCATAGCCGGGCTATGGACGGAAAGTCGGGCGTTGAAGTTCACAGAACTCACGTTCGTCAGGTTCTTCAACTTATGCGCAAGCATAAGTTGTACGCCAACCTCAAGAAGTGCATATTCGCGGCTAGCGAAATACCACTTCATGGGTGCATCGTGGGTGAACACGGCATACGCCCTGATTCCGAGAAGATCAAGGCGATCACCGACTGGCCAGTGCCAGTCGATGTCAAGGGACTAAGGAAGTTCCTTGGTCTAGCGGCGTACTTGCAAAAGTACTCGCGCAACTAAGCCGAGATGACTGTTCATTTTTCTCGCTTGCTCAAGAAAAATGTCAAGTGGTAATGGAACGCTGAGTGCCAGCGTTTCTTTGAGGATATCGAGCGGAGCTTGATACAGTCGCCGATATTGGCGATTGCAGATCAGGACAGACCATTTTATGTGGTCTGTGACGCCAGCGATTTTGCAATCGGCTGTGCGCTAATGCAGTTCGATGCAGATGGCGCGGAGCGCGTCATCTGTTATCAGTCGCGTTAGCTGAAAGCATCTGAGCGTAATTACCCAGTGCATGACAAGGAACTCCTTGCCATGAAGTACGCACTGGCTAAGTTTCGCGTCTATCTCTTGGGAGATAGACCGTTTGTTGTCTATACGGACCATGCGTCATTACACACGGCCGTAAACAGCCCACACCTCTCGCAAAGGATGGCGAGGGTGGCTGTCTTTCTTCGCGGAGTATAACTTCTCCGTGGAGTATAAACCAGGACGACTCAATGTCGTCGCTGATGCGCTTTCGCGCCGGCCCGATTTCGAGCCGGACGCACAAACCGACAGTGAGGATAAGCCCACTGTTGCGACACTGTCAGTCAGTGTCTTGTCGTCAAGTTTACTTGACGACGTACGAAATTCATACGCAGACAATAAGGATCTTCTGCGCTTGATGGATCATCTGTTGAATCCATCCAGTAAATCCATGAGAGATTTACCGGCTTTGTACCGATCCTCATCGGATCGGTATAGTACACGCAACGGATTGCTGTACTATACAGCTGTTGCCGACGACACGAGGCGTGTCGTCGTACCCGCTTATCATGATTTGCGTTTACGCATCATGTATGAGTGTCACGATGCCCCAACAGGCGGTCATCGTGGGAGAGAAAAGACTTATCTCACGGTAAGTCGTGACTTTTACTGGCCCCGCCAGTATCAGTTTGTACGCAAGTACATACGTGATTGCGAGGTTTGTCAACGGGTGAAGCCTAGTCCTTCGTCCCGTGCACCATTACAGCCTCTACTGGTCCCGGCAGAGTGCTGGCAGTCCGTTTAAATGGACTTCGTCTTCGGGAAACCCGAAGACGACCACAAGAATATTGGTATTCTTGTGTTCGTTGATCGGTTCATCAAGATGGTGCATCTTGCTGCAATTCCCGAGTCTATCACGGCACCCGGTTGTGCTCGTGTCTTTCTTGACACTATCTTCCGACTTCACGGGTTACCCCGTGAACTCGTATCCGACCATGACCCTCGGTTCACGGCGGCGTTTTGGCAAACCGTGTTCCGTTCTCTTGGAACACGATTGAAGATGTCCACTTCTGACCATCCCGAAACAGATGGTGAGACGGAACGTGCGAACCGTGTCCTCGAAGAGATCCTTCGAAGATACGTCCACTCGTTTCCGAGTTGAAGCGAATTACTACCCATGGTGGAATTTGCCATCAATAATTCGGTGCATGCTTCCACACAGCACGCACCGTTTTACGTGAATGGCTTACGCCATCCACGTGTTCCCGCCCTTCTAGAGTGTGAATCTTGGATAAGGGGGGAGGGACTCGCTCGAGCAACAACCGTTTTGTCTCTTGCTCATCACGTGTCGACGCTAACGTCGTCACGTATGATGCCGATGTCGACAATGTCGACATCGATGAAGCACACCACCTAAATCATAGCGACAACGCTATTATTGATTCGGATGATGATGACGATGCTGGTATATTTAGCATCGTCAACGATTTTTCCAGCGAGGGAGAAGACAACCTCGCTGAAGAAGAGAACAATCTCTTAGCAGTGCGCACGAAGCGCACTGAAAGACAAAACAAAGAGTCAGCAGAGAACTTCCTGCTGACTCGAGAGGCGGTAGTCCGTTTCGTTCAGGACTCCATCGCAAATGCGGTGGACCTTTAGAAACGGAACGCGGACAAGAATGGAAGAGCAAACGTTCTTTCATTTAAGGTTAACAACCTAGTACTACTGTCTACGGTAAACCTACCTGGACACGCAGTCACTAGTGTCGGCAGCAGTAAACTACTGCCGAAATACATTGGGCCATTCCGAGTGTTGCATCGAAAGGGCAATGCATACACGATCGAATTGCCACGTAAGATGCGCACGCATCCTACGTTTTACGTGGGCAGGCTCAGACCGTACTGTCAGTACGATCCTTCCTCTTCCGATGAAGATAGCCCCCACGTTCAAGAGCATCCATCAAGTTCTTGCGTTCGCGTTCCAGACGATCCGTCTGGTCGCGCAGATATGATACCTCGGAACTTAACCGAGATATCTCCCCGCGAGCTGCCGCCAGCTCGCCGAATAGGGATCAGATATCCCGCTCGACCTGAAGCTGTGCTGTGGCATAATCGGCGCGATCCCTCGCCCGATCAGCCTCGTGATCCTTGCGGTTCTTCCGCACAGTATCAGTCAAAGCGTAGCGCCGGTCGCGCTCGTGCTTCAAGTCATCGCGCAATTCATCGATTTCGCGATCCATCTCGTAAGGGTCAAGATGGTGAGCCGAATCATCTGGAGGAGGTCTTTCCTCCTCTACATATCCTTTGGTGGATTCTCACGGTGATCAACGCTTTATAGTGGAGCGTATCTTGAATCACCGTGACGATTCAGGATCAAGGACGAGCTACCTCGTCCAGTGGCGGGGGTATCCACCCTCTTGGAACAGCTGGGAGCCCCGCTCTCAGCTGTTGATGGATGTTGAAGGTCTCGTCCGCCAGTATGACGAGACCCATCCGATGAGTCTTCGGGCCCATCGGTAAACACGCGCTTTTGGCGCTTGTATACGGATTGCAAGTTTGCAATCGCGTCACGCATCTCCTCCGAGATGTGTGCCTTTCCCCAGGGCGAATTCAGGGAATACACGTCCCTATGTGCACGCTGCGAGTTGTCAACACAACTCGCACAAGGGTCTCCCCATGTGAGGCAAGGAATGTCTGTCTCACTCGACAAACAGTGCAACCGGTACCTGGCACCGGTTGGCGTTCGCTTTTCGAACCTGAGGCGTGTCGCCTCAAGTTTCTTGAGCCACCCTTCTCGTCCAAAATTCTTTACGTTTTGGACGAACGCGTTCCACGCAGCCAAAAGCGAGGCTTTGTCACGCTTTTGGTTGCTGTTGTACCATCGATGTCTAAGGAAGACATCGAGATAAAAGTCTTCCTCAGCGCGAAAGTTGCTCGCGCTGGGACCCAAGCCGTGAAGCTCAGTCGCATCGAATAAGGGTATTCGATGGTGTTGGCTTGTCTCGTGAGACAAGCTATTGATGAGCCGTTCGGGTAAACGCCACGGCTTCAGCTCATCACGCTTCACGGTGGTACCTTTGTTGGTACCACGGCTCCCAGATTGACGACGGCTCACGCCATCGTCATCACTGCCGAACAGACTGTGATGCAAATCACGAGTCCGTTCGTTCGGCAGTGGCCTTGGCGAATACTGAGGCGTCGCCGGTGAGCGAGACGCCTCTGGAGCATTGCCCGAGTCAGACACGTCTGACTCGCCAGAGTAGATGACCTCAATGTCGGGGTCATCATGCGCACGCGGTGAGGTGCCGCGTGCACCTGCAGCACCTGTTGCTGCAGGCGAAGAAGGAGCAGCAGACGACGAATCGTCTGCCGCAGAGGCTGGCACAGCACCGGGCTGTGTAGGTCTTGAGTCACCTCGCATCGACATGTTAACTATGCGAGGTCGAGCGGAGAGTGAATGGAACGGACCCAACAAGTGCTCCCTGTCCCAATGGTGACCAACGGGTGGCCACCACATTTTCGATAGTCACACGGCGACTATCAGTTAAAGGGGGGTGATGTAACGGGGCAGCCCGTTACATGGAATTGTCATTTTAAAGAAACAATGACAATAAAGCATATTAAGTTGAATATTCTTTACACAATATCACCGAAGTGGTGATATTGAAGGGTCGACCAAAGAGTCTGTTCATTGGTTGATATCTTGATGATATCAACCCACCATTCGCCGCAAGACGCGCGCAATGAGTGGTGACGAGACGTCACTATGCACTCAGTTATATTAGCATAATTAGGTTAAGTCAAACAGAGAGACAGTAGTTAAAAGACTTAATTATATTAATATAACAGTTTTACTTTTTCCTTATCCTACGCTTCCTCGTTCGCCTCGTGTACGTCTGTCGGGGCACCCAAACCCTTGCGTTAAGTTCACGCAAGGGTGTGCCCCGTTGCAATCAGCATCCACAACAGTGCTGATTGACGTTTACCACACCAATAATTGTCTCAATCAGTTAGTTAGTCCTTCTCCTTTTCTCTCTCTCCTTCTCTCTTGTTTCGATGTTCATCCAATCAACGCCGTAAACATCGCGTCTTTTTGCCAAGCGGTGGATGGTATACACCGAATCGATCGACTCCTTCTCAGTAGTATACAATCTATCGCAATCACCCAATCAGCTCGCGCCGTGCGCCGGACCCCAATATCTGCTTTGTTCTTTCCTGACAAAAAACTCGATTTCCTCTCTCCCCTTATAAAAAAAGTCAGTGGTGCGCCCCCTCACAGACACACACACATCCATCCACCTGCCCAAGCCCCGAAGACGAGACCGACCGATGTTCAGCCAAGTGGTCAAGCGCAATGCACTCCTCAGCCTGAGCGCCGCGAGCCGCCGCGGTATCTCCGCCTCGGCCAAGCGCATGTCGGAAGAAGGCGAGCACCACCAGCACCTGCTGTTCGAAGGCGACTACTCCAAGAGCTTTGTCGCGGGCATGACGCTGTTTGTCACCCTGGGCGGCATTGCCGTGCCCGTGTGTATGTACCGCTACCAGAACTGGAAGCACGGGTTCCCGCAAAAGTAACGTGGGCCAAGCGAAGACGGGACGACGGAGCAGACGAAGCGCTCGTTCGAGCTGGTGGGTCGCTACACGAAGCAAGTAGAGACTGCAACAGCGGTCGTGACCGCTGCTGGAGTCGACTGGCGCTGACGTAGTCATGTAGCTTTGTATAAAAAGCAAACCGTGTCTTTTCAAGTCGTGTGTACTTGTTTAGCAGTCAGTGGCTGTGTACCTGCTGTCGCCGTGTCTAGGGGCAAAACGGAGCATGCCTGTTGTTGATGCAGGTCTGGCCCGAGCTTTCTCCACCTTGTGGGCACGTATGGACTACACCAGCTCGTGTTACTTGTCGCCGTACACGTGCTGGAAAAAGTCCATCTTCTCCTCGTGATTGGTCTTGATGGTCTCGTCGCCAGGCTTCCAGTTGGCAGGGCACACTTCGTCGGGGTGCGACGCCGAATACTGAAACGCCTTGAGCAGACGCAGCGTCTCGTCGACACTGCGTCCGACCGCGTCATCGTTGATCTGAATGGAACGGATGATACCTTCGGGGTCAATGATGAAGAGGCCACGGAGAGCCGCACCGTACATCTCGTCCTCCTCGTCAATCACTAGCACGCCATAGTCCTCCGAGATGCGCTTGCTGATGTCGGCAACGAGCGGGATGTTCATCTTGCCCAGCCCGCCTTCGTGACGTGGCGTCCTGGTCCAGGCCAAGTGCGTGTGGTGCGAGTCCGTGGAGATCGCCACGACTTCAGCATTGATGCTGCGGAACTGGTCGGCGCTGTCGCTAAAGCTCACGATCTCAGTTGGGCACACAAAGGTAAAGTCGAACGGGTAGAAAAAGAGGATCAGCCACTTGCCCTGGTAGTCACTCAGTGACACCTTTTCAAACTTCTCGTTGACCACAGCGTTCACGTTGTGGAATGCTGGCGCAGGTTTGCGGGGCGACACTTTGAAGGCCGAGGACGAGTAGCGATTCGTTCTTTGGTACCCGAGTTGCTCTAGAATGGCGTCTGACACGTGCGGGAACTGCACCTCGACACTGCCATTGATAGCCATAAATAAACAAGTAACAAATCGACAAAAATAGGGCGTTACGGGTTAGAGAGCATCACAGTGACGGTATTCTGTATTTTAGGGCCGAGCGTCGTGGTAGCTGACCTTTTCTTCGTGCTGGCTGCGACCGTCTCAGCTTTGATCGAGAACGGAGAGAAGTGCAGCACGAGGAGCGCGAGCAGAAGCGTCGCGTGGGAGACGCGTTGATGGGGCATTTCGATCGCGACGCAGCTGAAAGAATAGTTACACGTATCGGATCGCCGGTGGGGGCTTTGATCGGTTTGTTGTTGTTGATGCCTGTCAAACCACACCACTATCCTCAATCCGCTTACCGGTACATGCTGGAGGACCGGTCCTGTATTTGAGTGGGATATGGTAGTGTGTCCATATAAGATTTGACATTCATTGTAAACAGACGTTTTGAAACCATAATTTATGCAGCTCACCATCCTGATTTCCTGTATTATTCGAAAGCGCACACGGTCGCACAGCAGAATGTAGGGAGATGGACTTCAGTGCAAAGAACAAAGTCAATGTTTGCTGTACTTTGCCGTAGATTGCTGCTCGACGGCGTGAGTGGAGCGCGCGAAAGCGTGTCCGATGGTAGCGACATGAATGCCAAAGCGCACAAAAGGGGCGACGACAGATAATTAGTTTGAGTCAGTTGAGTCGTGCAATGTGAAACGACACGGTTACGACGTCGACGTTCGTGATCCCTACGTAGATTGTCGGTCAATGTAGGTTGTCGGTGGGTGCAATGGTCGATGTTACTTGTTTGGGAGAGAGAATATGAAGAGCTTGCATACGAGGCTTTGTTTGCACGATAAGTGAATTCAGAGTTCAGACAGTGTTACTTGGCGAAAGAATGGTCGATCATTGCCGCCGCTTGCTGTCTGTGCTTCAAAAATGCCTCATCAGAGCGATACCCCACTATGTTCAGTTGCAATCACGACTCGATCTAACCGAATGGCGACGGATGGCTCTGAGCAATGTAGCAGAAGAGAGAGCTTGCGCATTGTTGGAACGGCGTATCAGACACTGTACGGTCCACGATCTGTATTTTCAGCGAAGGTAGTCGATCAGGGCCAGGAGGCGAATATACATATTGCCACTATCACGGCTAAAAGTGCTGCTACCGCTTTGTGAAGACGCACGTGCGGGTACATGCTGCCAGAGAGTGCAACGAAGTCCCTTGCATATGTGCTGACGCTGGACGCAGCGTCAGCACATATGCAAGGGACTTCGTTGCACTTGCTTGACTTGAAAAGATCGTTGCTCGACGCATTGAGATTGTGCATCATCACAAACGCAAAGTGGCGATAGTCCATCTCGACGTTGGGGTATGAGGTTTGCAATCAGCAGATTGACCAACGAAAGAACGCTCAACATCATGAAAGGGTGCACAAGCACTCGCCAAGATGCGATCAATGATTGTCTTGTTGCTGCTGTATAAAAACTAACGCTGAGCAGCGATTTCGTCCATCACGTCGCCTTCAGTGACTCGACGTGTGAAAAGACGTTGCTCTTCAAATTTTAACAGTTCGGCCAGTACATTGGCCATATCGGATCCCGAAGAGCAACGAATCACTCACTGGCAGGAGACGAAAAGATTGGCTGGGAATCGGCTGGGGGTGTGGACGTGGCGCCGGGCCGGGCTCGGCTCGGCATTGCCAAACGTCCCGCTGGTGTCTCTGAAAACACATCTACATGCCATATCTTGTATATTTTATTTCTGGATCACATACAACGCGTTGTAGTTCTGTACCTCTCGAGTCAAAAGCGCTGCACAGCACCTGCCCGCCCACAGCGCAACTTGTCCGCCATTGTGCAGCATTGTTCGATTCGCTTGCGGCACAGGCCCAATCGAGCGCGCGACCCACTGCAGAGGGCTTTTGTGCTCGCGCGCTGGTACGTCCGAAAGGTACCGCAGTCGCTCTCTGTTGCAGTGGGGTGTACCACCCGTTTAGCGTCGAAATAGCTCTGAAGAAGACGTCCAAACTGCTGTACGTTCCATTTCGATGGAGCTGCGCTCGGCGTCAAGACGACCCATTTTGAGGCGGATTAACCTGTTTTCGTGCACATTGACTTATTTTGATGCAAATTGACCCATGTTATATAGGTCCATGAGCGACGAAGACAGTGACTTGGACGCACTGGACGCGACACGGGCGCTGTCGCCGCCACCTCCGCCACCGCCGTCTCCGCCAGCAGTGCTGCCGTCTCGTGCCGCTTCCTCACGGCCGCGGCAAACGGGAAAGGCCAGGATCATCCAGTCATCTGTGCTCGCGAGTCGCGACGCAGGAAGACCCAAATTGCGCGGCAAAAAGACCCGTACGACCAAAAAAGAGACCAAGACCGTCTTGATGTCAGAAAGTCCCCATTTTCTGGATCAAGACGACCCAAGTGCGATGGACGACGACCCAAGTGCGACGGACGAGGGCGTGACGACCGGGGACTCGCACGCGCGACCGGCCCACATGTTGAGCGTCGTCGAGCTTTGCAACAACAGTGACGAGGATGCAGAGAGTGTTGGGGGTGCGAGAGATGGCGTCAGTGACAGTCCCACGCCCGTGCAATCGGGCGAAGATGATGGGAACGAGAGTGGAGAGACGGTCGACGATGACTGGGCCGACCACAATCGATGGTACTGCAACATTTGCAAAGACGGGGGCGAACTGCTCTGCTGCGATCGCTGTCCTCGAGCTTTTCACATGAGCTGGTGCGTTGCGTCAAGTCTTTTTTGATCGTCCTGCGTCATGCTTTGCTTACTTCCTTTTTGTTGTCGTGGTGATGATTGCTGTGTGATGGGGGTGGCGGTGTGTTGTGTTGCGTCATGCAGTTTGGGTATGAACGAGGAGATGATCCCGGACAGAGAGTGGTATTGCAAGATGTGCGCGTACGTAGCAAGGCCGACGTGGCGACTAGTTCATTCTCAGCGAGTTGTGAATGACGAGTTTTGCTTCTTTCTGCTGCTTTCGTCTCGTCCTGTGTGTGTCTATGGTACTCGACAGTGAGTGCTTGGACCGACGTCGTCTGAAACAAGAGTCGAAAGAAAAGGCACGCGTGATGCGTGAAACTGAAAAATTGGAACGCGATGCCCGTCGACGGAAGGCGGAACAGATGAAGGAGGAGATGCTGGCAAAGAAGTCGGTTGAGGCGATTGAGCATAAAGCCAAACGTGTGTTGGAAATGCAGGACCGGATCCTCAGCCGCAAGAAGATCAAGTACAAGGACAAGGAAGAAGAGAAACTTGGCAAGATGGCAGAAGAACTGGCTCAAACTGTGAGGTCAGCTAAAGAAAAGCTGGAGAAGCTGGAAAAGGAGGATGCGGTTCTGAAACGTAAAGAAGAAGCTCTCAAGAAGAAAAAGCGCGGCATAGACGATGTTCCGCCCGAGGTTGTCGACGACACCTCGCGTCCCGACAGACCACCGTACGTTATGGCAGCTATACCACGTCAGTCGCTCGGCGTGCTAATCCTTTGGTTCATTTTTTGTAGGCCAGTGCCATGTACTTTTGGCAGCATTCCGAAAAAGTTCGTTGGCAAAATGCTTGCTGTGTGGGATTGCATTTATGCGTTCCGCGATATCCTTGAGCTTTCGGAGATCACGGTCGACCAGTTTAGCCATGCGCTCAATTACCCGAAGATCTCACCGATGCTGACTGAGATCCACATGTGTTTGCTGGAGAAGATCTTGGAGGACAGGTACGATGCTGCGGCAGTTTTCTTGTTATCATTGCGTTCTGAGTGGTCTTCTGGTGCTTTATGGCAGAGAGGACGAGGACTACCTGTCCGACGACGACGGCTCGATGGATGATAGCGAGCGATACCGCTACGAGATCCAGCACGCGCCGTTAACTGTAGGCGTACCAACACGCTCGATGCTCACCTCGCTCACTTGGCCGGCCATTTTGTGCAGCTTAATCGATGCGGTGCCTCGTTACACCGCACACTCAACGCCGTCGTTTTTAGCCGCATTCAAGGCACTGCAAGATTCAGACTACCCGGCGCTGCAAGTGCAGCACAAACTGGCTTTGCTGCAATTTCTTGTCGGACGTCTAGTTAGCACAGATAAAGCTCGCCACATGCTCGGTAAGCACCTCAACGATACTCTACAACAATCGAAGGAGTACAATCGCGCAGTCATGCTTGACCGAAAGCTCGCACTGGAGGACGAAAAGAAACTCCGAGAGAAGCAACGAATCGAGCTTGCTGATATTGTCGAGTCAGGCAAGACGTCGATGAAATCGTGGTTGGGAAGTGACAAAAAGGCTCGAGACAATGGATATGCAGCTTCGGTCGATAGTGCTGAAGATGTCAAAAGCGATTTCGAGGGAGACACTGGTTCGGCCAGCGACTCTGACTTGGGCGAGCTCGCGTACAATGAAGAGGCCCTTTTACAAAACGAAGAAGAGCTTGAAAAGCTCCAGAAACAGGAGTTCATCTCGCGGCACGAATACGTCGCACGGAAGAAGAAACTAGATAGACAACGTGAACGGCTGCGACAGAAGGCGGAGGCAAAAGCGCGCAAGAACAAAATACAGGAGCAACTAGAGCGGAAGCGGGTAGTGGCAAAGAAGAGTTTAACGGATGGTTTGACGTCGAAGAACGCGGCTCTACTTCGAAGCGCTATCGAAAAAGGCAAGGAGTGCGGCCTCCCGGAGCGCCAGATCGTGTCGGCCACACACGTGCTCGAAATCCTGGATGCCGAAGCCGTTCGCGAAGAAGAAGCTCTGACGAAAAAGCGCAAGCTCAATGCGTTGCTGCGCCAGTCCTTTGTCCGGTCAGAGCCGATTGGGCGGGACAGAGACCAGCTACGTTATTGGGTCCTTCAAGGCGATCTGCAACGGCTATACGTTGAGAGGCCGGGTCCACCGGATAAGATAAAGCGCAAATATGAGTCGCTGGCTAGAAGTGGGTCCCCGAGAGACGGTTTGGTTCCCGAAGACGATGACAACAATGCAACGTGGTACTATTACTCTTCCCGCACGGAGTTGAACTCGCTAATGGAAGCTCTTGACGCACGCATCCTTCGTGAGGCTCACCTTCGCTCAGCTTTGGCTGACTACACAAGAGAGAGCAAATTGCCTGATGTAAAGCCTGGGCTATTGCTTGCTGATCTAGCCAACGAGGCGACAGCCAAGAAGCGCGCCCAGCGTTCAATAGAAGCAGGAACGAATGAAGCAACTGATTTCCTCGAGTGGAGAAACGACAAGCACCCGACGCGAAAGACAACTCAGCACCCAGATCCGTGTATTGAGTCCTTCCGCGAAGATCTACTGAAGGGTCAAGACTGGATTTGTAAGTGTCTTCGTACTCTAGGCTCAACTTGGCCAGATCGCCCCGAAAAAGGCGGAGTAGCGTGGCGGACGTCCGTGCAGGCTATTGACAGAATTGATGGCATTGCTTGTGCTCTGCTTACACTAGAAAGTGAGGTGATGTCCGTTCAGAACAAGCCGAAGCAAAGATCCGGTGTCTCGGCGCCAAATGTTGCTGGGGTGGACCCGGATAATGCTGCCAGCATTTCCAACGAGGAGGACGACAAAAACGAGGAGAGGAGTGACTACGAGGATGATGACGAAGAGGAGGAAGTGATGGATGCTTTGATGGATGATGGCACTATGCTGTGGCCGTCTAAGTATTGCCGCGAGCGCTGGATTCTGTGCGTTAAGCGTGGAAACACAGTTGCTGTTATGGCCACTGCTCTGGCCTCATTGATGCATCGCTTGGAGACGCTTGGCTTCTTGAACGCATCAAACGAAGATGCTGCGAAAACACGTGCGAAGCGAGATAGCGAGCAGTTGTCTCGCAAGGAGCGTGCAGCAAAGAGAAAGAAGCAGGTCGAGGAGGAGGTGGACGACGAAGACAGTCACGTGCGCGAGTCTGTGGATGAATGGGAAGAGGATTGCTACATTTGCAGTGAAGGTGGTGAATTAGTGTGCTGCGATGGTTGCCCCCACGTGTTTCATTACTCGTGCATCGGGCTTCGCCGTATCCCTCGCGGAAAGATCTTCTGTCACGAATGCGACACGTCAGTCAAGCCGGTGGTCCCTGCGAAGAAGAGCGAAAAAACCTTCATGAAGCGGCCTAGACAGTCGCCGTCACCATCACCACGTCGCCGGTCTCGAAAGCAGACCAAGTATGGTAGGAGCGACTCGGAGTCGGACGAAAGTGACGCCGAGTTCGACTCTGCTGTTTCTACAACTTCTGCTTGTCCTGCGTCCAGCAAGTCATCGCCAATGCGGCATGGCCATGTCGGGCCAAAGACCTCGGAAGATCAGTGGGATGTTGATTGCAGTGTCTGCGGCCTGGGAGGTGAGCTGCTCTGCTGCGATGGTTGCCCTCGAGCCTTCCATGTGAATTGTATCGGCCTGGCCGAAATTCCCGAGACGGAGTGGTTCTGCAACGAGTGCAACCTGCAAACATGCGGAGCTTGTAAAGAGAACAGGATTCGGCTGGACTCGCATGTCATTTGTGGGTCCGAGGACGGTTCAAAAGGCTGCGACCGTGTTTTCCACCTGGTACGCTCGTTTTTGCCTCTTGCATCAGGCGGCAGGGATGTGATTCTCATCTTGTTTGTTCATCTTGCTTAGAATTGCGCGGGGCTCGACGATGTTCCGGCGGATGACTGGTACTGTATGAAGTGTCTCGAGAAGCTGAGTCTCTAAGATACGGACAGGCGTTGGCGTCAGCAAGTATTAGGTAAAGAACGAAGATCGCTTAGGCCATGTGAACGGGCGCAAAGGCGTTGAGGAGAAGTCAGTGGTACCACGTGATGTCATTGCGAATGGATGGGCTCTTGCCAGTAAACCGCTTTCATGCGGCGGGCATGTACGATGATGGCTCGTCGCTTGTCACGCGTGGTATCAGCGATACTTGGAATCCAGAGTTCCCAGCAATTCCAGATTGATAATTGAGCTGCACAGACCAGGTTAGATAAACAGTACAATGGACAAATGACATGTATTGCTGGGTAACGTGGTCTTAACACTCCGATGGGGCACTGTCGTAGGGATCGTGGCGGACCAAGGTAAACGCGCCGACGTCTTGTGGTTGAGACGGCACTCCCAGCCGTGATTTTGTCCACCAGCGTTGTTGAACATGTTTTGGGTCTGGGACGTTGGTGTGAGAGTTTCTCGGACCAAATGTGCATGGTGGACGAGCTAACGCTGCTCGGTAGAGCTGACCCTTTGAGAATGACTTCACTCGAAGAATGTCTGTGCGAAGCCGTACAAGACACCAACTACAGCGGGTGGAATGTCTTCTCGAAAGTGTTGCCAACCCCAATAACGAGTGCAGCCCTCGCGTTGTTGTTAAGTCGAGCTGCGGGGTCAAAATTTGTTGAAGAAGAGTGTCGAGTTCACTGCGTCGGTGCTTGTAGGATATCAGACCGAGGTTTTCCAGGGAATGCAGATACATGGACATTGCGAGTGAGGGATCCCGTCAGCATTGTCCAGTAGCTCAGGGGGTCTTGTGAGACATCGCTCATTGAAACGTACGTCTTTCGATCAGCCTCGCGAACCATTGCCGCCCTGCTGAGCCACTATCCCGTGGATTCGTTACCCACGACGTCGCACATGTAACGTGCGCGTCAGCAAGATGTGTATTTTTCGTCTACTTGGTCGGAATGGCGACACTGTGTGACGAAGATTGCCGCCAGCATATCCTCAGTCAACAGCCGCAAGTCATGACGAAGGACTTTACTTTCACCAGACCAACAAACGGTCATCGGTGATGGATCGATTGTCCTCGCCAGGGCCATCCGTTTCAATGATAGTACAGATCGATGGCAACGACCGCGCGACCTGACGAGGTGTTTTCGTAAATTGAGAAACGTGTCCACCCTCTTATACAACCGCAATGCCAAACTGACGTGGACTTCTCTTGTCGTATTGCTCCTGTTTGTTGTGCAGCACTCTGTTGGCGTCAATGGGTTCAAAGGTACGGCGCATTGGCACAGCGATTTCCATTGACCATATACGCCCAACCGACGATCCGCTCTGTTGGCAAATACGTTGCAACGATGCAGCTGGACCATTTCAAGCGCAATGCCACCTTGGAATAGTTCGAGTGATGCCAAGATACGTGTGAGTCGGCTGCAAAAGTTGTGCTATGTCTGCTTGATAGCCCGCTCGACTTCGCTCATTGTCAAAGTAAAGACGACCCAACAGATGTGTTCACGTTCTCTGGTCTCGTACACTGCACCCACAACGAAGCATGCACTGTGGTGTTTGCAACTGCTTTTCCTGAGACAAGCTCGTTGTGCAACAATATCCACGCGATCAATCATGGCTTTCAGAGTGAACGACCGTCTCGCAGTCCGTCCAGGATGGATGCTAAGCTTGAACCTCTTGGACTCGGTTGGCTTCATTTTGAATGGATGCGGGCAGCTGACAAGATCACGCACACTGTCGTTCGCTGTCTCCACAGTTTGTGTAACTTGTCATAGTTCGAGCAACAACGACGTCAGCAGCTGAATGTCAGCTAGCCTCGAATGGAGCGCAATCAAATGGCAGTAAGTCCGCTAGCAAGTGAACAGCAGTTCGACGACATGAGAGCGCGTCTCCCCGTACAATGATGATCGACGCGATTCGTTCAGTGGACGTCGTTTGCAGTGGAATGTGCTATAGCAGCAGAGCTGCAACTTGTCCCTGAATACGCTAGGTACACTGTGATGAAGCAACCGGATTCCTGTCCTGTTGGACCTGAGCCGTCTTCTAGAAGTCGTGATCGAGACCAGCAGTGAGGGCGAGAAGAGAGGCTTCGAGAGACCGTAGTGGATTGCAGGAGCTGTTTCACGGAAGGAACACTGCGACAAATACCTGCTTGCAAGGCAGCATTGACACACAAGTGAGGTTCAACACGAAAGGACAGACAACGTTTAATGAACATTTGCCGCGTTTGGCACGCAAAAGTAGACTGTAGCGGTGCCAAAGCGTGGCCGCCTTGACAAAGTCGCTAGAGTTTGATAAAGACCCGCTACTGCTTCGTCTCGCGAGCGTCGCGGAGGTCGTTGAAGAATGCTCGAAACGCGTCTTTCGGCCCCTTGTTCGTGGGTATGTAGTGGCCTCCAGGATGTAGCAGCAGCTTGGCATGAGTGAAAAGACCCTTGAGAGCGAGACTCCGTTCGTTGTTCACTACGGCATCTGACTCGCCAATAACATGTAGCGATGGCAGATCAACCTGCACGTTGCTCGCGTACGTTGGATCGCTGCACGCTCCTGCTGACACGAAGAACGCAAAGCGGAAGGCAAATGGCGTGGCCGAAGTGCTCACTGATGTCACACCGTAAACCACAAACGAAGCAATTGACCGCAAAGCGTGCAGCTCAGCATCACGCAGTAGTAAGATAACTCTTTCGTTTCCCCCTCACACAGCTCAGCCCTGCCCAACGACGTACTTTGTCTTTGCAGGATCAACGACGCAAGGGTGCCCCCTTGACTGAATCCGAAAATGCCGTCAAAAGGTCCTTCTTCCTTCACATAGTTGGCAACGTACGCGATCGACTCGTCCACGCGCTCGAGGCGTTCGTGTCCTCGATCGTCGTCATCGCGACTAAAGTCGAACCACGTTAATTGCTTTACCTTCTCGCCGGCTTTGCTACTATCCTGCCACCACGAAGCAGGTGGTTGACCCAGCGCAAAGAGTTGACAAGAAGTACCATAACCTTTTTACAAAGCAACAAACTGTTGACCCTTCGTACCGAGTTGGCATGATCGAGTGACGTGGGCTCATAAGGCACAGCGAACGGTGCATCGAGACAGACTAAGCCAAAACAATGTCACCACATCAGGATCGAGTGACTTCAGTCGATGTACCTTGAGGGGTCATGCGTCCAGAGTGCAATTGTCGCTACGAACCAAACTCGACACTGGTCTTGAACGCCCTGCGCAATGCCGCAATGCGACCGCGGAGTTTGAGACCATCTTGACGGTATCCGTGCAGACACAAGACGCGTAACTTGCTCATGATTGAGTGGTCGAGATGGGACGAAGATTTGATAGTGTGTGACGTCTGCGAGTGCTACAACGCATTGGAGCTATACGGTTTGAAAGAGAGAAAGACGAAGAGCTGGAGAGATAATAGACAGAGGGGAAGAAAAAGATGGAGATAGGAAGGTGCAAGGCTTTGCAATGACAACACTGTGGTCACCTGCGATAGACACCAAAAGTGCCAAGACACTGTAGTTCCACGCGTTGTTGAGTAGATTGGTCATCCCTTGACGAGTGCTGGCGACGACTTGTCGCACGTTCCTTGGCTGTTCTTTGCTGGTCGTGAGGCTGGACAAGCGAAAGGAAAAGTGGGACATTGGTGTACAAATCGAAACTTTGGTCTAACGTCGCAGCGACACTAGCCATGTCTGCGACGTGTATCGCTTTCATGTTGCAAGGCTACTTGATCCTGCAAACAGGAGTCACTGACACTGCTTGAAGCGACAGAGATGCAGGACGTAAACAAATCGTTGCCAGTCAACAAGATGTCGAAAGCGATCGATGCAGTACATGTGATGGACGATTCTATTGCGCAGCATCGGCAGCTTTGTGTGTTGTAAAACATGTTGCTGGCTCGCCCAAGTGACCTGCTCGTGTCTATCGTATAAGCACGTTGAACGTTTATTGACTGTGCTTGGTACTTGTCACTCCCACATCGAAAGTAATCTCATCTGCGTGACGTTTGCTATACAGCTACGACAATCACCGTACGTCCAGATCGAGCTACTTTTCGTAGAAACATAGTGATCATTTGCGTTCGAAAGTAGCCCGCACGAGAAAGTCTGCAAGCACTAGCTGCGATGACTGATAATGTTTTTTCCTTCGCCTGCGTTCTCAACCTGTCTCCAAGCGTCATTGCTGTAAAGTCGGGTGGCTGCCAGTCGTAATACGTGCGCGATGATCGGAACGCTAGCCTTAATCTGCACAAGCATGTCCACCCCGCTGAAAATGCTGTTGAACATGATCGTTTTTATCATCGAGTGAGCTTGAGCCCAGTGCTTCAATCGTAAACCGAGGAGCACATTGCTGCGTGCTGACGGTGTTATCAACGGAAATAGTGATCGATTCTGCTTGAATAACGTTAAGCGCTTCGTGAGCAGCCTTGTGCTTCTGTCGGTATCGAAAGAATCGGATGCCCGCAAGATACTGCCGCTCAATTCACTACTCAGCAAGTTGTAAATTTGTTCATCGTAGCATTCATTTGAGCCGATTTCAGATGCACGAAGAGATCCACAAAGAAAAGAAGGCAAGAGCAAGCAAAGCAGATATATTGTAACGGGGTTACATAACAGGTGTGGGTGTAACCGGTTACATAACAGGTGTGGTACACAAGGGACAGAGTCTCATTAAAAATGATATCCGAACACCATATCACTTGTCGAGGGATGAAGTGTGTCAGCCACCGAATTACGAGATCTTTTAGGAGGTATTAATTCGAACAGTAGTGACTAGGTTCAGTACGTTGTTCTGAAGTGTTCTTTTAGGTTAAAAGAAAGGAATAAAGTTCAGTTCCCATTTTGATCAACATAAGACACGAGCCTCACGAGGCGTCTTGATCGTAAGAGCTAGCAACGCCTGTGAAGGTAGCTGCTCTCGAGCACTCTGTGCTGTTGATTCTTTGAATCGTTTGGTCCCCCTGGAACAGGGACCGTAAGCTCTCTGAGCTGTTGACTCTTTTAGACGGGTTCTTTGAACCCAACCTTAGCTCTCTGAGCTTGTTGACTCTTTGAGTCGGGTTCTCTGAATTTTAAGTTGCTCGTTGAGCGTTAAAGTCTTCCTCTGACTTAAGGAGCTGTGTAGCTCCGCTACACTTGGTAGCACCCGTAGTCAATATACGCCTGAGGGGGTAACGACTGATCCTCTGTGAGGATGGAGCAATCCACATTCCTCTTTGAGGCCCAAAAGGTCGCGCTTGATAAGATGACCGCGGCCGTGGGCCCTGAATACGTTGAGTTTCTAGCTGCGCAAGGTCCCGACGTGCTCAACGCGCATGTCGAGACCTTCATGCAGTATGCAACGGCACTTTTAGGGCAGGTTTAACAACAAGTAGCGTCGGCTATGCCAACACGCTTTGTGGCAATGCCAGCCGAAGAGGCTAAGCCTCGTCCCCTCAGGGTGGACGTCAAACATTACTCCGGAAAGGTGGGAGAGAAATTCGCCCTCTAGATCCGTGAGATCGAGACGGCCATGAGATCTGTCTTGGTCTCACTTGAGCATCAGCGAGTCTCGCTGGCCATCTCTAAGCTCGATGGGAGAGCTAGGGAGTGAGATCTGACGTGCAGCATGTCGGCTGTCTTGACGTTTCCCACATTTCGCCCAAGCTAAAACTTTTGCGAGTTTTTGCCGCCTAACCAGGTCTATCGCGTGCACTCACGCTTCTTATCTACCCGGTAGGGTAAGAATGAGTTAACGGACTATGTCCAGGAGTTGAGAACTCTGATGACTGCTATGCAGTCTGACCCTCTCCCTGAGACTGTCTACGTGACAGTCTTCATGGAAGGTCTTCGCGATGCCGTTGCCAGGACCGAGGTCTTTTGGGTCCATCCCTCTACTTTTGAACAAGCTGCGAGCATCGCTCAAAATGCTGAGCCCACCTTCAAGTCGTCCAGACTTGGGTGGAATGGGTACAACCCAAGCTTTGCGAGGGCAACCTCTGCGAGCACCTCGGCTTACTGTAAGCTAGAACCGATGGATCTCAGCAATGCTGAAGATGAAGATGAAGCTGAGCTTCATGTTTCACAGAAACGACAGGAAGTGAGACGCTGTTACATGTGCGGAAGCAGTAAACACTTGCTCCCCACTTGTCATTTGCGTAAGCAACGACCGACTCCTATGGGTCAAAAACCAAGCCCCAACCAGAAACCTGGTATGGAACGGGGGAAACGTCAGCACCCAGTAGGTGCGGGGCGCCCTACTGGGGTAGAAATGAATTCTGTCACTTCTCTACGGGGTAGAGCAACACAGGGCTTATCTCCACAGAGCTCCGTGCCAGCAAGCACAGAGCGTGGATACAAGCCTGGCTTGTTAGTCGCCGAGGCGATAGTTAAAGGCGTTGAGAAGCACTGGTCGATATAAATCGATTCTGTGGCGTCATGCAACTATGCTAGACGCCGTTCACTTGAAAGGAGTCAGCAATATGCTGAGGCGCTCAAAGCGCACGACGGCGATTCCATCACTGTTCGGTAAGCGACGGGTAGTCGCGTTACTGTGCTTATAGTTCCGTTGAACTTGGGCGTGAAGTTTTTGAACTTTGATAGCACAGAACGCTGTCTTGTCCTTGATTTGGATTCGAGATATGATCTCATCCTAGGCACGGCCTGGCTTGAACGCCATGAACCATGGATCGATTGGAGGTCTAAGAACTTAGGCGCAACGCGCAATTTTCCTAGTGAAGTTTTGGAGGGTCATGAACCCACCTCCGCTAGGCAACAAAAGCGCTATTGGCGCGAACCATTGACGGAAGATGTCAATGTGCTGGACATTGGTATGTCAGAGTTAATTATCTTCAACGTCTATGACATGAATATCAAGCGGAGCTCTTTTACCGTATGTGAAGAGGGTCGTACCCCGTTGAGTGATACTCGTTGTGATAATGAGTCACTGTCATGCTGCAAGCATGGTTGGTATAGGATCTAGACATCAAGAATGTAATTCCTCTGATGTGAGTGGGGTGGCACGTGAAATTCCACTGAGTGAGGGCGGCCTAGATGGCACCTCACTGAATGTCGGTAATGACATTGTTGGCGAGAAGCTAGAGTGTTCAGGACTAGGCCCGGATGCTGTACGTGAAGTGATACGTGTAAATCCACTGGGTGAAGTGTACGAGCTACGTAACACTGCACCAGATGTCGTTCAAGACATGAGCTCTCGTATAGAGCGTACTAAGATAAATAGCAACCACGGGACCCTACTGTCCCGGCCTCTAGGAGGCGTAAGGTTTCTTTGAGAAAACAATCCCAGCGTCGGGTGGAAACGGTTAAGCGCCCAACGTCTAATAAGTCACGAAGTGATAATAGTAATAATACACTATATACACTTGTCAATGGGTTGACTGGCCATGTTGATGGCAACATTAGTCTTGAGACCCTTCCATTCTTGGATACTCTCTTTGACGTAGACGAAATGTCGGACGGCGAAATTAGCCAAGCCTTGCAGGAAGGATAATTATATGAGTTAGTGGTCATTCGGCCGGATGAAGAGTTGAACGCATCCTCGCTATTGGACGAGTCCTTCCTGGAGGACACGAAAGTGACACTTGGTGCGCGTAGTGGATCTTCGATCCTTAAGGATCCTCTTGATCCATTCTATCCTTGGTTTAGGGATTTTAAGACGTGGTGTGGTACGACCCTCTGTCTGTCCTACCGCCTGATAGAGGTGTTCGTCATGAGATTGACTTAGCTCCGGAAACTAAATACTGCGTCACTCGGCAGTGTCCTTTACCAAAGGAACAGTGTGACGTCATTGACGACTTCTTTCGTGCTGAGCACGCGGCCGGTATGGTTCGTGAGAGCAAATCTACTTATTCCACACCGACCTTCTGTGTCAGAAAGCCCAATGGAAAGTGGCGCATTGTTCATGCTTACAATAAACTTAATGATACCAACATCCTGACTCAGGCACCAATCCCTAGAACAGATGTTATTCAGAACAATATGGTGGGATGTAAAATGTTCAGTGAGCTTGATTTAGTCGATGGATATTACCAGTTGCTCATGCGTGAGAGTGGTATCCCGCTGACAGCAGTCAGTACCCCTAGCGGTATGCTCTGGTAGTGGCTTGTTATACCACAGGGGTTGTCAAATGACCCAGCTACATACAATCGTCTTGTGATGCAACTGTTTAGACCTCATCGAGGTTATGCATATACATACTTTAATGTCATCTTTGTCCATAGTCGTGCTATGAACGGTCGGTTGGATGTGGATGATCATATCAACCATTTACGAGCGGAGATCGAGTGAATGCGCACAAATAAGT